TGGAATACGATCCAACCAATGTCAAAAAAATATTGGCAACACTTGCGGGTTGATACAAATTGGACGTTACTTGGACGAGTGACCATGTAGAACATGAAAATCTTGAACTCAAAAACGTGTCTGATTATCTCATCCTGAGTACAAAAACTACACTTCTTGCTTCTTGCCAGTTAAGATGGGCTAGGTTGTCTTTGGTTAGCAAAACTCCCCTCTAAAGATACCATATTAAGATTTTATATTTAGTGGAATCTTTGACTACCAAAGTTCCTTATTTTTACCCAGTGAAACATGTGAATGCTTGAGTGGAAGGTACTTAGAGTAGACCGTGAAGGACCTAGGTGTAGTGAGATTCTAACGGAATGCATCTCATCCTTGTGTTAGGTTAATCGACTCCAATCAGGATAAAACACTGCCATGACATAAGACGGGGCTAATTAGATCCCGCTGAAAGCAATTACTTGCATGGATGAACTGAGCACCTAAGAGTATCATTCTTATCTCGAACAACGTGATATACCTTCGGAAGTAATTGACTTAGAGAAATAACTAGGAATTGTACTGATATAAACAATGTATTAGGCAAAATGATAGAAGAACAACTAAGTAGAAATAGATGCAAACTAGCTAAGCATACAAGCATACAATCTGAAGTTCTACGAGGGAGAAGACAAATGTTGATAATGTGAGATGCATATATGTAAAGACTTAAAACTCTCGAAGAATTGATCACAAAGAAATGTAGAGAGAGAGAGAGAGAGAGAGAGAGAGAGAGTCATATGACCAACACCATGCCTATGCTAAAGGAGGTGGTGAACAGATCCAGAGATTACGGTGCCACCCATGTTGCGTAAAAACCTCCATGCCCCCTCCCTTGCTCCAACCACATACACATCACATTGAACAATTGACACTCCATTCAGTTTAGCATAGACCACGTATGAGGCGAGTGCATACAACAGAAAATAACCGGTAAAGGGGACCCTTATTAGCGTTTTGAGCCTATTTGGAATACGATCCAACCAATGTCAAAAAAATATTGGCAACACTTGTGGGTTGATACAAATTGGACGTTACTTGGACGAGTGACCATGTAGAACATGAAAATCTTGAACTCAAAAAGGTGTCTGATTATCTCATCCTGAGTACAAAAACTACACTTCTTGCTTCTTGCCAGTTAAGATGGGCTAGGTTGTCTTTGGTTAGCAAAACTCCCCTCAAAAGATACCATATTAAGATTTTATATTTAGTGGAATCTTTGACTACCAAAGTTCCTTATTTTTACCCAGTGAAACCTGTGAATGCTTGAGTGGAAGGTACTTAGAGTAGACCGTGAAGGACCTAGGTGTAGTGAGATTATAACGGAATGCATCTCATCCTTGTGTTAGGTTAATCGACTCCAATCAGGATAAAACACTGCCATGACATAAGACAGAGCTAATTAGATCCCGCTGAAAGCAATTACTTGCATGGATGAACTGAGCACCTAAGAGTATCATTCTTATCTCGAACAACGCGATATACCTTCGGAAGTAATTGACTTAGAGAAATAACTAGGAACTGTACTGATATAAACAATGTATTAGGCAAAATGATAGAAGAACAACTAAGTAGAAATAGATGAAAACTAGCTAAGCATACAAGCATACAATCTGAAGTTCTACGAGGGAGAAGACAAATGTTGATATTGTGAGATGCATATATGTAAAGACTTAAAACATTCGAAGAATTGATCATGGAGAAATGTAGAGGGGGAGAGAGAGAGAGAGAGAGAGAGAGAGAGAGAGAGAGAGGCAAACAACAAAATGTAAATACTGGAAGTAAAATAACCATGGTGCTCAATGGTCAGTTACGAATTGTTTGCCCAGTTCACACCTCTGGCAGAGTCCTACGGCTTGTTGGAGGGATTTGTGATTAAACACAAGAGAAAATCACTCTCAGTGTTATTCTCCTAAACAGGATTACGATGGACTACTTTCTATACAGTTAGCAGCCTCATTGGTATCTTTTTTTTTGAGGAAAGAGCTTTGCTACATGGTGGTAGGATTACAAATAAAGTTCGTCGCATCATAGCCCTTTCTGTGTGGTAATTGTGCAGCCATACTTCCATTCTATTATGTGCACATACAATAATTCAACTTGCATGAATAATTCATTCACAAAATTGCCAATAAGCTTCTCACACCCTTGGTGTAGGACTAATATTATGCTATGGTTTATATTATAGTATGATGCTATGGTCTATATAATTCCCCCAAAAAAACTGTGATATGGCCTTAGTGCCACCAACAAGATTATGATGGCCTACTTCTTATACACTTAGCAGTCTCTTTGCTCTCTGTTTTCCGAGGAAAGAGTTTATTAGATTGTGGTAGGACTACAATCAAAGTTCATCATCGTAGCAATTTCTGGGTGATAATTGTGCAGCCATACAACCATTCTACCTGTACCACTCGTATCTTAGCTAGCAATCCCATTGATGTGCACATAGAATGATTCTGCAAGTTGCCTGAATAATTGAGTCCCAAAACTTTCGGCAGGCGTCCTGTCATGATCAATCTACAAATCTACACGGTACAACCACGTCAAGAAGTGGTTACATCTTGACCCGTTTTTTGTTATACTTGCAGGAAGTCGATACAATTTTCTCTATGCATTAACAGTCGATGTTGATTGAATAGAGCAGGAAATTTGTCGAGATAACAAGTCCCACTTCAATTTTAGGCCACTCAGTATACGTGAGTGCTTAGATTGAGTGCTTACTAATAGAAACTAAACTTCCCAATTTATATATGAGTAGTTTGGTGTAGATATTCTTTTCATTTAATGTGTTGTTTTTCACGAAAAAAATAGTTGTAGAATCTTATATGGGCACTTAAATGGCAACATAAAATGGATGATTGCACAATACTCTCTCCATCGAATAGTTTAGATTACCTGCTTTGTTAATTACATAGTACTCCATCTGTTTCATGATGCAATGCATATTGATATTTTTAAAAGCCAAACTTAGCTACATTTGGTCAAGTTTATAGAGAAATTCATCTATATCTATAGGATGAATTCCATATATGCCACTCAAAAGATCTATATGCACTACATTATGGAATGGAGGGAGTAAGTTATTATGCTCTGTCTGTAACTTAATATAAGACTTTTTTGACACTGTCACAGTGTGAAGAGATATCTTATGTTAAGTTAAGGAGGGAGTCTCTAATGCTATGTGCTTGTTATTCTAAATTAAGATATTTTCCTTATAAACTTGGCCAAACTTTATAAAGTTTTTTTGTATTGTTTCCGAAAGGCCAAAGAATATGCATTAAGTATCTTAAAGTCCTTACAAAACGCCCTTACGGGAAAGAAAAAATACATCCAAGTCCTTCGGGTGTTATTATATTCTTCTACATGCATCCACCGGCAGCGCTCTATGAGCAAAACACGATGCCACCTCTGGCCCTCGGCCTGGGTGGAGCAAAGTATTTTAAACTAGGAATCTTGTAGAAGCAGCGGCCAGAAAGTTAGCCTAACATATGTCTAGTACAAGATACGTAGGTATCTTGTAGAAGTAACGCCCAAAATGTTAGCCTAACATGTCTGTATTACAAGGGCATAGTTTTTTAAACTAGGGATCCTGTAGAAGCAACGGCCAAAAAGTTAGCCTAACATGTCTATACAAGTGGTCAAATGTGTGAGTGTTAAGCTTGGCGCCCCTTCTAGTTGAATTCAAGATACACCACTGGTAGGGACTCACCCTACATTATGGAATAGAAGGAATAAGTTGATCCGATTGATTACATAATAATATAACTCTTAATTATAACGGTGAAAATTTGAAATGGAACATCAAGTCTACGTCAATTCGTCTTTACATGGGCCAACGAAATTTGGAACAGATCTGGGTGAAAACCTGCTCTCGGCTACTGCTAAGGCCGGTCATGACGGCACTCTTCAGTGTCATTCCCTTCTTGAAGGCATCGCCGTTGAGAAGTTCCAGTCCACTGTCTGCTATCTTCGGAGGAAATCCCGGATCAGTAGATCGGATGACGGTGGCACTCTTATGTTGTTTCCCCCTTGGGGACGTCATTCTTGGAGGTGTACACGGGCTCGAGGGACCAGCGGACGACATCTTTGGTGGAGCGGTGCTTTATCCTGCACATTGACGACGGCGAATCTTGGCGGCGTGGCGTAGTGGAGAGTCGGCGTCCGATGTGTGGCGATGGTCTCGCGCAGGAGGATGATCTTGTCTAACGTCGTGGTGGCATCGGTGGCAGAGAGGCCTGGCAAGGTCGATGCGTCAGTATATGCTCTGAGGATGGATCAATGAAAGACGGAGGTGACGACCCTTGCAGCGTACACATGTGATGCCCACTGAGAGTGCGCCGGACTGGTGTGTGGCCGTCCCGGCATTGTGGCTTGGATGGGCCATCCGACTTTAGATGTTAAGCTTTGGTGGGATATCTATTTGGTATTCGGACATTCGGCACCCCTTCATCAAGGGGATAAGACAGGTGTTGTCAAGATGGCTTTAGGTTTAGTAATGTATTACTTTGTAAGGTCTTTGTGAATAATTAATTAAACGACGCATGCATCACCCAGATGATGAGGCCGGGGATACATCCTCCTTTTCTAAAAAAGGGGAAGGAATCATCTCCCTTATAAACAACTAAATGACAGTACAATAATCCGAGACACGCAAGTAACTTGGGATTGGTGAACTCAACAACATATGGTAAGTAAACTTTATTGTAATAAATACCATCACACAGATGTTCAAAAGAAAAAAAACCATCGCACAGTATAAGAGAACGGAAGAAGGATCGATTTTAAGTTGTTGCGCGGATACATGAAGCGAAGCGGTAGATGGATGGCTCCAGTGTGATTTGCAGCTGCACATACAAAGCGAAAGACTACATATACTTTAAACTCAAATGGAAGATATTTCAAGTGAAAAGAAGGGAAGAGAAGAGAACTGACCGTGTTTGATGAAGTCTCTGCATTATCGATCAGGGGACTTGAATGGACAAAAGCCTGGGCACGGGCTCATAAGGGTGGTTATCAACAGCTTTTTTCCATTCATCTTGTATTCCAGTCGCGATTAGATGATGGAGTGCAACTTCCTTGAGATTTTTCATGTGTGCGATTTCGATGCCGGGAGTTCCAGGAATATGGGCCAGATTATGACACAGGATATGAAGTGACATAAGATCAGGCAGAGGATTAGCCTGGATTGGTATGTCCAGCGCTTGCACGAACACCCCAAGGTTATCATCAATGATTTTCAGATATTTCAGTCCATTAACCTTGGTCAGCCCATTTCGAATGTTCTGCCAGCTCAGACCAGTCGAACAAAGGCACAGCTCCTTGATAAGACTTAGCTGTGCAACAAACTCAGGGAATTTGCTCAGTTGACCGCACAGCTTGAGCGAGGCGAGTATGCCCTTACCATAACGTGGTTGTGCGGTGTTCAAGAACTGTCCCGAGCATCCTTGCAAATCGATCGTTAGGGACCGACCGCGAGCAGGATCGGCGGTCCCATCACGACTGAATTTCCATATGGCACTTGAAATATCACCCAGGTTTTCTTTACCTGCTTTGGATATGCACCATATCTTTACCTTGCGCAACATCTTCATACATGTCATCAGCTGTGGAAATCCTGTCGTCCCATCGGTGACAAATCCGGCTAGCGTCTCCAACTGACTCTTCTCTGCCAGGAACCTCTTTAGTTTCCATGCCAACATGGTGGTACTTGTAAGCTGAAATTTCCCAAAGAGGTGCTTCAGTTTGGGCAGCTGGAGGACTTCTTTGAACACCATCACTGTTTCGCCTCCACTCAAATCAAGGGTCTCTAGCTGATCCAGGTTCCCGATTTTCCTTTCAATCCAAGTAACTGTGCCCAGATTGATGCTCAGATATTTCATCAGCACCTGGCCCCAGATAGCCTTGAGATGGTCCTCACTCAAGGGACCACGTTCTTTCAGATCCAACACCCGCAGCACTCCATACCTGGAAAAATCAAGAACAGCTTCGTCGCTGCTGCTGGCGACAGCAGCCGGTGCACCACCACCAGCAGCAGTAGGGAAAACCGCCAGGGTCCGGAGAAGAGACAAATCTCGAGGCAAATTCAGTTCGCCATTTGCATGAGGATACACGGATAGCCTGCGGGCGACTTCGTGCTGCAATGGTTGAGCCGTGCCATCACAGAACGATATGAAATCATCCAAGACTGACTGACGGGAGATGTACTGGAATATCTCTTCAGTAGGTTGGCATCTCCTCACTTCCCCGTTGTTGCTTCTCTCGATGGAATTTAAGATACCAGGGTTGGTGAAAATTTTCAAATTCTTGACAGCGTCTTTTTCTCCTAGTACTAGTCCTTCGGCAAGCCATCTCCTTATTAGGGGCTTAGTTCTGACAGGGTGATTAGGAGGGAACAAGCACAAATATAGCAAGCAGTTCAGGTTATAATCACCAAGATTCTGAAGCTGTACGGGGACAACAGTAGCCTCATGTCCTTGAGAAGTCCTGTCATCCCCTTCTGCAGGGAAGGTAAACCTCTTTATCCTTTCTGTCAGATCAATTGATCTTCTCTTGAGTTCAACAATCTTGTTGCCAAAATCCACGAGGGTCATCTTCTGGGCGTCGAAGCAATCGACGCGGTCTTCGATGTCATATGCCAACCGCCTCAGTTGTACAATAAATACTGCCTGCAAAAAATGAACAATGTCTTAGATACCTTCGCAAAAAAATAAACTAGTGTAATTTTCGAGGAAAAGAACCAACATGTACACGGTAGCGAGCAGGCCGTTGAATGACATCTTTGATCGCCTCGAGATCATCCTTGACGAACAACACATCAGCTCTTATGTTCTTGTTCTTCCTTAACTTTGTTTCCATCACCACGCAGAGCTTGGAGATGACGACAGCAGCTAGCGCGCCAAATGCTGCCACACCAAACTCCATCGATTCCTCTTTCCTTTGCTCCACAGATCATTCCTCCTCCCTACATCTGCAGCCATGGCAAAGTAAGGTGACTGCTGCTGCCCGGCATGAGGGGGGGAGGTTGCCATACCTTCATCCCTTCACCTGTGGTAGAGGTCTTGTCATCTGAGAGCTTCTGATTTGCCTTCATCAGCTACAAAGACCTGGAAATCAGTTAAGATATAAGAGCATCTACAGCCGGACCTGTTAAACCCGCCTCATACGCCTGGACGGGCGACCGGTCACGATTTTTTGACCTAGACGGGCCTCTCAACCGGCCCTCAAATGTCCGGGCTGACCGGCCCGATATCCAGCCCAAATATGAGGCATATATGGTGGGTGGGGCACGCCCGCCACGTCGAACTGACGAAGGGGTCCCAGCCGGAAACGCCCTCAAACCCAGCGGTCCAAAACTTGTCTCTTCCATCGGACCGGTGGCGCCCGCGTAGCGCAGCTCCGGCGGGCCACGTAGTGCATTGCCCGACTACTTAAGTCGACCGGCGGCACCGAAACCCTGCCATCCATCCACATTTTCCTCGTCATGCCCACCGTCGCCGCCACCTTCCACTCTACCCGACCGCCTAGTAGCCATGCCCCCACGCCACCGAGTGAGGAATGAGCCCTTTCTGACGCCGGAGCGTCGGCTCGAGCTCCTTGAGCAGATCCGGGCTAGGCGCGAAGACCCGATCTCCGCGGGGCTACCTCCGGATGCAGTGGATACGGAGGAGGGGTTGGAGGAGGAGGAGGTGGAGGAGGACGAGGATGAGCCGGAGGAGGAGGATGTGGGGGACGCTGGCGAGGGGGATCTGCAGGCTGAGCAGCAGGCCATCCTCAATTCCCTCCGGTCGGAGTCGGGTGCAGAGGCAAGACGCCGTTGCCAGCAGGAGATGGAGGCGCAACAGGCCGCGGAGGAGGCGGAGATGTTTGCCTACATGCATGGATGAGGTCCAGCAGGAGGAGGATGAGCTGGAGCCCTCCTACCCGCCCGTCCAGCCGGTTCCCGGCACCGTCGTCGTGGACATCTCCGACGATGAAAAGTATCTAGTGCAGTAAGTAGGATCCCTTTTGCATGCTTTCTATGGATCTAGAGGATGAAATATTATAGAGATGGATGCAAAGTGGCTAATTTGAGGCGTGCCCGGTAAGTGCTCGTGGACGCGCCGGGATGCGTCCGCGGGCGTTTGAGGGACCAGATTTAAAAAGCCCGGCTGTAGATGCTCTCAATAATGTGAACTTGTTTCGGTGAGCCTTTCCTCAACAACCATCAAAATGAATAGTCCACCGTCACATGTTTTTTCATGAGGCTCTGGATCAACCTCAATTTGGTTTTACTTTCGTATTTACCTAGAAAAAGAAGTGAAGGTAAGACTTAGTGCAGAGCGGGCTCAGGGCATCATTAATAATAATAATAATAATAATAATAATAATAATAATAATAATAATAATAATAATAATATGTGATGAGACTTAGTGCGGAGCGGGCTCAGGGCATGTACAATGATGACATATGGATACATATGCCTCATGAAAAAAGTGGTTTAAGGCTATATTGATTTTTTTCCCAACGCAAGTTATTACTAATGGGCATCATTAAAGAGTAAAAACTAGACTCTCACTACACATGCATCCATACTCTTCATTTCAATTTTTTCAGCTTTATGCACTCCCCAAGCATCGACCTCCTGCCGAGGATTCCGCTAGACCATTCGAACATGTTTTTCCTAACATCCGATCCTACATGACTTGCGAGGCATCATCCTAGAACTATGCCTTGGTCATGCCCTCATGATGGGCACCCCCAAGCACAGAGACCTGTAAGATGTGCAGATGCACGTTAGCGCACCAGGAATAATACTCTGGGGTAGGGTGGGGTGACAGCTGGTTTAGCTTAGCACCAAGCAGCACGCAACATCTACTACTATTTTTCCGGCGTAAAGAGGACTGGCTTCTTGAGTTCTATTCTTTCCTGTGTCCACGCCTCATCTCATTGCCTCCGCATCTTGCTCGTCAGAATCGAGATTTTGTTTGGTAATGGTAACCCCGTCCCATATTCTCTTAAGTTTTCTTTCTCGTGCATGCGTAGAATAGGAAAAATTAATCAATCTTGTTCATACTTCAGGTGGTGCAGATGTATGTCTGATATATTCTTGTTCTTGGCGCTCTAGGCGACGATGGAGGATTCTGATGCTCCATCGCCTCAGCGGGTGATGGCAGATCCGGATCCTAATTCTCTTCAAGAGGCGATGCAAGGTCCAATTAATGTTTGGCTGGGGCCTATTGGCCCCGTCCTCCAGAGACTCCTAACGCTCACGGCTTCTGGAAAGAGTCTGCCGGATGGACTCGGCGCCGATCAGATTGTTCTTCTAAGAAATGGTCTCAAGAAATTATGCTCCCCCCTGGAGGATATGTCGGAAGCCGAGGTCGACGCTAGCACCACGGCCAGGTGGTGGATGAAGATAGTTCGTGAACTTTGTTACGACACAGAGGATCACCTGGACGAGGTTGTGGGCGCTGGCGCTCATCTAGATTTTTCACAATTTCTTGCTCGTGCTAATGATGCGATGGAAAGACGCGAGCGATTCCACTGGTCGCCTCCCAGGTCTATCATCAAGCCAGCTGACCGGGGGGAAGCTGGTGTCAGCTGCCTCACCTCGGATCCCATCGGCGGCCGTAGCAGAAAAGTTAACGTTGTGGAGTCCCCAGACAGGCTTGTCAAGCTGCTGGCTTTAGACAAGACTGATCTCAAGGTGATACCGATAAATGGATGTGCAGGTACAATCCATGGAGCCCTTTCCAACTAGAATTACATCGTTTAAAAAAATATTCAAATTATAGAGTTTCTCATGCTTGTTTCCTTCTTCTTCTTCTTTTTTTTTGGATTCATAGGTGCCGGAAAAACAACAGTTGCCAGAACTTTGTATCACAGGCACGGACGGCAATTTCACTACCGGGCTTTCGTGACTGTGTCCCAGAATCCAGATATGAGGGGTTTTCTCAGCAGCATGCTCTCACAACTTAAGGCACCAAGCCCCCTTGGCTTTCCTGATGTGCCAGACCTTGTTGATGCTATCAGCGAGCATCTACAACGCAAAAGGTATCTAATCTCCACCGCTTAAATAATCAAAGTGTGCGTTCATCTCAGAAATATTTCAGGGCTTGTTTGGGCTGTTCAGGAATAAATAGACAGCTCTTGTGTTTCTAACATTTTACATGACACGCGATTAGTTTTGGCATATTCTCGTTGCATAAAGATGGCATGTGTTCTTCTACGATTTCCTTTCACCCTCCTCGTATGACGGTGCAAAAGCACACTACAAGCAGGTATAATAAATTGATGTAGGCGGGCTATAAGACGTTAAATATTATATTTTGGTGAGTGGAATGAGAGAGAAGAGGAGAGAGAAGAGAAGGAGACCACTACAACTGTTCTGGTTTATTGGTCCCTTTAGGGTGTGTTTGGTTTCTGTCACAAAGTGGAATGGCATTGGTCGGTTCCATCCTCAGGACCCGTACGTTCCAGTGTATGGTTTGCCAAAGTAACCAGAACCCACCGGTTACAGGGAACGGCATATTCCCTGTTTACGCCGAACCTAGGCATTCCTCCAAACCGGCCGGACCACGTGGAACGCCTCTCGCTCGTTTCTCTTCTCCTCGACTCACCCACCCCAAGACCGAGGTCTGGCTCATCGAAGATGCAGCCTGCATCACGCCCCGCTGTCTTCTGCCTCTCGTCGGAAGTGCAGCCTCGCCAGCGTGTCCTGCCCCTCGTATTCCCCCTCGACCAAGGATCTAGCGGAAGGAGTCCGGGGTGAGGTGCGTATGTGTGTATGTGAGGAGGCGGATGTGTGCATCTGGCGTGGTGCGACAGGAAGGCCGACCAAACTCACAACCATGGCTACCGAGCTCGAGCTCGAGCGGTTGGACGACCACATGATTGAAAAGGAACTGAAAGAGCAAGTCTGCGTTTGGGTGGCTGTTGTTGATCCAGTCATCTGTATTTGGGCGTTTGCTGTCCATCTTGTGGATTGGAGGAGCAAGGCTGCGAGCAAGCTGCATTTTTGCTTGTAGAAATCAGACCAGATATAGTGTACAGACTTTGGTATTTGGGTGGCCTTTGTTTGAATGAAGATTTGTTTTTGATAGAGCGTTCTCAAGCCTTCGGTTCTTGGATCGTTGATGCTCACACTGCTGCACGATTCAATATTTATCTGCCATTTTTTATGACAAAAATCCACTCCAATTCATGATGATGTGAATAAACTCGTTCCATTCAATTTCTCAAATCAAACATCAAAATGTAATCGTTCCATTCCTTCGAATTGCCCCTACCAAACACAAAGACGGAACCGACCCATGCCAGTGGAATGGAACCGTGACATTCCATTATACTTCATTCCCAAACCAAACACCCTCGTGTTATTTTGTGTCAAATTTTAACCATAGATGTAATTAACAAAATATTAGTCCCGCTCCGGTACAACCCACCATCCAAAACGTATAAAGGGCAATATGGACTTTTGACATGGTATACCCATTTTATACGTATGATAGGTTGCCTGCATACCGCCGATTGGGCAGGAAGGTGGCCCCAGTAGGGCTCGCACCTACGGCAGTGATATAGTCGCTAAAAAAAGAATTAGGAGCGACTGACCTTGCTGGGATTAGAACTCTACAGCTCCACCTTAGAAAGAGCAGCTACTTCCCAATCAACCTGATAGACGTTGGTTGCTAATAAAGAGCGTGCCACTTTAACAACTAACTACAACGCAAAATCCTGGCAGTTTTTGGATTTTTTATCTTTTCCTGGAAATTGTGAATATTTTTTCTAAAAAAGCGAGTAATGTTTTAAAATTAAACAATTGTTTTTCAGCAACTCTAAAAAAATTATAAAATTCAATTTATTAAAGACCTTGCCTTTTTTGAAAATCCTAAATATCTTCTGCAAATACGCCGACATTTTTGGAATTTAGAGAACAAAACCGCGAAATTCTGAGCAATTTTTCAAAACCACGAAACATTTTAAGTAATTCCCAAACATTTTTTTAGTTTTGAGAAAAAATTGAAAACAGGAACAGTTTTCAGAAAACAATAACCTTTTCTGAAATTCTCGTATATTTTTGGAATGTATGAAAAAAATAGGAAAACACGAGCATTTTTTGATTTTTCGTAAAAAAAACTCGAACATTTTGGGAAACCACAAACAATTACCAAAAACTAACATATTTTAAATTTCCAAACATTTTGGGAAAATGAACATTATTAGAGTGTTAAGTAAAAAATGGTAAACGGCAAGATTCTTAACATTCAGAACAATTTCTAGAAACAAGAATGCTTTTTGGAATCCTGTACGTTTTTTGAATTTATAATTTTTTTTTGAAAAGGAACACTTTGCAGAATACTGAACAACTATTTAAAATCATGAACCAAATTTGAATTTTCCAAATAAATTGAAATCACAAACAATTTTTGTAAAAGGAAAATAAATTTGAAAAGAAAACAAGAAACGAATAAGGAAACACGAAAGCAATTTAAAAGAAACAAAAAATGAAAACAAGAAAAATAAAGAGAAAAATGAAAACAAGAAAAAGAAAATAAACGTGGAAACCGTCAAAAGAAAAATAAAAGGCGGGAAGCTTCCCAAAATCAGATACGAGTGGTTCCTACATTATCTGTAGAAATGGGACGGCTCAAATGATTCTCTCAGCCGCTCGCGAAACAGGGGCAACCTGACGCATTTGGCCGATTTTCTTTGTTTTTTCTTTTTTTTTCTCCTTTTTTTTTATTTTATATATTTTCTTCCCTTTTTTCATTAATTCATTTTTCTTCTTTTTGAACGTTATCATTATTTTTTGAAACCTTTAATAAAAAATTTTGGAATACGAAACTAGCAATTTGAAGGAACTATTATTATGAATTTAAAATATTTTACATTCAAATATTTATTAAATGCTTTGAAAACATTAATTGTTTGAGGCCTTCGTCACATCTTTTGTTTCATCACTTTGATTTGGTGGGGCTTAGTTGTTGTGCAGAATCCAAGCCCCTAACCCCCATAGCTATGTATGAGAGTACGGGGACATTCCACGAAATTCCATATCAACCTTTTAAATTTCTACTGAAAAAATAATCTGCTATTCAAAAAAAAATTGCACAGGTTTCAAAAAGAATAATAAAGTTTAAGAAGGAGAAAATCAATTAACCAAAAAGAGAAGAAAAACGAAAAAATAGAGAAGAAAAAAATACTTAGGCCTTACTACCTCCGTCCTGGTTTATTGGCCCCTTAGGGTGTGTTTAGTTCCAATCATCAAGTGGAATGGCATGGGTCGGACCCGTACTTGGGCCTCGTTCCGGCGTTCGGTACATCGCAGGAACGGAATCAACCGGTTCCCACCAAACGAATATTCTCTGTATATGCGGAACCAAGCCATACCTCCAAATCGACCGAACCACAAGGAATGAGCGGAACCTGTGTCTCTTCCCCCTCCCCAACTCGCACGCGCCCTCCAAATCTTAGCGCCGCCACACTCCCCCGACCCAGCGCCGGCTGTCCCTCACCTCCCCGTCGCCTCTCCTCCAGCTCGTCTTTCTTCTTCACAGCCGGCCATCCCATCGCGCACACATCCAGGCAAAGAACGAGGAGCGGCCGTCCCGTCGGCGGACACATCTGAGCAACCATAGCCTGCTTGTTGCGGGCAGCGCCTAAGGAGGAGTGGATCAGTGGCTCGTGGCCAAACTTTGACCATAGATTTTACTAAGAAACTAATAATGCTTGTCATCAAAAATATGTCATTGGATTCGTATTTGAATATAGTTTTCGGTGATATTTTTTTTGTTACATGCATTACATTTTGTTATTTAAATCTAATGTCAAAATTTAGCACAAAATGCAAAGGGGACCAATAAACCAGGACGGAGGTAGTAGAAAATAAATAAATTCAAAAAATATGAAAAAATGCTGGCAAATTTGAAAAAGTGTTCGCATCTTCACAATGTGCATGCCCACCTGTTGACCAAAGTTGATGCCCTTTTTTGAATGTCAAAAAAAAACCATGTGTGTTTCTCACTGAGAGCATGTTGTTATGCGAGAAGGCTCCACTGCGAGCATGTTGTTTCTCAACATCTATTAAATGACCTCAATTTTTTTCATTGACTTGTATGATCAATTCAAGGCACCACGCCAAGTTGTTTTGGTTTTCTAGAAAATTTCCATTTTCTAGAGTTTTTCTTGTAAAAAAAGGGCAATAAATGGCCGGATGTGATGCAATTTGCATATGGTGTCGGAAATAATTCAAACCTGGCATGAATGCCTACCATGAGCATTCTCACCTGCTCGTAAAAGTTGGGGCCAGTTCATGCATGTCCAAAAATAGACCATGTTCAATAGAGGTGCTCGGGTAGGCCGGAAGGTTCCATATGAGAGCATGTTTTTTTCGACATCTTCAAATGACTCCATTTTTTCCCATAAGCTTAAATAGTCAATTCAAGGCACCATGCCAAGTTGCTTGAGTTTTTAACAATTCTTGCATTTTCTATAGTTTTCTCGATGAAAAATGGTTATACATGCTCGGACATGATGCAACTTGCATATAGTGTCAAAATTCATTCAAACCATGGGCATGCCCACCTACTGGCAATAGTTGGATCATTTCATGCATGTCCGAGAAATAGACCATTTTCAACGGGGGTTGTTTGGGTAGGCAAGATGGGTCCGTATGAGAGCACGTTTTATCGGCATCGTGAAATGACCCAAAAAATTTCATGAGCTTATATGACCAATTCAAGGCACCAAGCCAATTTGTTTCAATTTTCATTTTCTTTTGCAATTTATGGAGTTTTCTCGATGAAAAATGGACGATAAATGGCCGAACGTGACGCAACTTGCATATGGTGTCGGAAATCATTCAAACCTGGCATGGTTGTCTGCCATGGGCATGCCAAAAATTTGGGGTCATTTTATGCATGTCAAAAAATATACCATGTTCAATGCAGGGTGTTCGGGTAGACCAGATGAGTTCGTATACGAGTACTTTTTTTTCATCTTCAAATTACCCCAAATTTGTCCATGAACTTTTATGACCAATTCAAGGCACCATCCCAAGTTGTTTGAGTTTTTCGGCAGTTTTTGCATTTTCTGGAGTTTTCTCGGTGAAAGTGACCGATAAATGGCCAGACGTCACGCAACTTGCATAAGGTCTTGGAATTGTGCAAACCTGGCATGGATGCCTACCATGCGCATGCCCATCTGCTACCAAAAATTGGGGTGGTCTCAAGATGTCCAAAACCAGACCATGTTTTAAACACACAAATCTGTTTTTCCTGAAAAAACCTAGAATAAAATAGAACAAAAGCCAGTTTTAAACGCACGAATTTGTTTTCCTGAAAATTTGCAAAGTTACATTAGCCACATAAGAAGCTAAAAAGAAAGGAAGTGTTCAAAAAATTGTTCAAAATGTTAGTTCTAAAGTTTGCACGCTCCTCATATTTCTTTAAAAGTGTTCAAAATGTTGCTCGGAAAAAATGTTCTCAATATTTTGAACTAACATATCTCCTTAAAAATTTGAAATGTTCATGCTTGTATAAAATATTATTCAATATTTTCATGCTTTTATGAAAATGTTTTTTTAATGTGTTCAAGTTGTTCAAAAAGAATATTGGATTTTGAAACACTATTCAACTTTTAAAAATTCATTCAGAATTTTGTTGGTGTTACTCCCCCCATTCGGGTTTATTGGGACCAAGAGCCACCAAAACTTGTACCATGTTTACTAGGGTGTGCGTGTGTGCGTTCATAGGGGTGAGTGTATGTGCGTGTATATGAGCGCTTGCGTCTGTATTATGTTTAAAAAAACTAGGCCGCTGCACAGTTTATCAACGAAAAAAAAAATTTAGGCTGCTGCATTTAAGAACGTCACTTTATTCCGTCATCTCTCCATGGAAGCTAGCGCATGGGTCTTCTTGATTGGATCATGCAGTAGCCATTGAATGCACATATTAGTTAATAGGCCTAATTAATAGCGGCGATTAGCTAAGAGATTTATATATTTCTCTTGTGCGTTTTTCGTGGTCTTCCTGTTTCGGCTCATGGGCCCAATAATTCCGGGGGGAGGGTTTCTTAGGTTTGCACGCTCCTAACCATTCACAAACACTAGTCAGGTGAACTGGTGAGCGCCTTAACTTTATGTATAAAGGTCTGTGATTCAATTATTAGCGGAGGCATGTATTTTGTGAATTTTTACATCTCGCGTCGCCTTCTCTGCAGACTTCACCAATGGGCTGGCCCAATTGAGGTTGTCTCCCACGCCGTATACAATACGTTCGGGACGTATTTCAAAAAAAGACCATCATACCCTTTATTATGAAGGGGTATGAAGAAATCGCGTGCGTTGGTGTGTATATGGGGGTTGTACCGAAGAAGAAGTGAAAATAATATCATTGAAAACTATATTCAGATACGAATCCAACAATCTGATTTTTTATGACATGCATTAACATTCTATTAGTTAAATCTATGGCCAAATTTTGGCACAAAATACAAAAAGGACCAATAAACTAGGATGGAAGTAGTATTGATTAACAAATAGCTCCAACACGTGCTTCTAGAGACTTTGTGAGAGAATGAGATGGACCACGTATCAACAAACTAACACATATTTATATTCAACTATCATAATATCGTTGGCTATAAGCTTGACTCTAGATAATATGTCAACATCAGATAGCCAGCAGCTGGTTGTACTATTAACCATACTCTAAAAAACACCCCAGCGCACCATGTGCAGGCCACTTAGACCCGCATTTCCATCGTTGGACCAATGAGTTGTACTTTGTATGCACTAGCTTTTAACACATCATCCTAGGTAATGAACTTTTCATACATTGTTTCTTTGGCTGTCCGTAAAGTGTAGAATCATAAGTTAGTCATGCATATGATACTGTCTTTGTAATGCATAGTTTCATAGAATAGTATTTTATATGACTTTATTTATTACAATGCAAGACAAATAGTAGTACATTATTTATTATAATATTGTATCATGGTATGATACTTAACCCACTTTTTCTTCATTTAATTATATGTCACCTCATCAAAATTGCTTAATTGGCATGCATGATACTAGATATGATACTCACGAGGAACCTTATGTGTTGTGTCTAAGTGATGTTGCATTTAATTAGTTGGGGATTATATTTGCATCTAAACATTGTGGCCTACTAGTTGTGAAAATAAGATGAGAGATAGGTAGGCCCGGACATATGATGACAAAGTGCGAGCTCGATCTGACTGGGTCACCTTTTTCTTCTCCCTCCTATCCAACTACTAACTGGGTTGTCCGTCCGAATATATAAGGTG